GGGGGGGGGGGGGGGGGGGGGGGAGCGGGGGTTGGGGGGGGGTGTGGGGGAGGGTCAGGGAGGCTGTGCAGGGGTGTGTGGGAGGTGTGTTTTGGGGAGAGCATGGGGGTGCGGTGCGTGTAGGGGGGTGCACGAATGGCCAATGTGGCGCAAGTGCAAAGAGGCTGGGAGAGGATGCATGGGTGGGGGAGACTTAGCCAGCAACTTGCGATCTTCCCTGCCAGCTTCCCCTTTGACTTTCTGGGAAATTGACATGGAAGGTTGCAAATGACAATTGTGATTGTGGGTTGCTTGACAACCGGTCGTAAATGTGAATGGGTTGCCAAGCACCCATATCACGATCATGTGACTGTGGGGGTGCTGGGTTGGCTGCAGCTTCGAGAACTGGTTGTAAGTCTCCTTTTTCAGCACTGCTGTAACTTTGAACAGTTGCTGAACGAATGGTCATAAGTTGAGGACTACCTGTAATGCTCCTGCATTGTGGTGTTATATCTCCCTCTAATAACATGGGTGGCACAGCATTAAAACTAGCAAAGAACAGGCTCTCTTGTGAGGCAATCCTGAGATATTAACTACATAAGGTTTTCTAAACAGATCACTGCTATTGTAGGTAGGGGGTGTATTCAGACCTTTTTGGTGATCAATGTTGAATACGTTGTCTCAACTCCATTTTATCTTTCTAAGTTGAGTGAAATTAAAAAATGGACTAAGAGGCCACATTGTCTGATGCCTTTCTCCTTGGATGATGGAAAATAAGGAGGTAATGAAGCCAATAATAAAAGTCCACTTTAGATGGAATTTTAAGTGATGGAGCTGCATATGACCCTCTAAAGAAGCAGCCCAGATTCCAGTTGTGATAAAGAATTGGAGATAATCTACAGAACTTGGAAAGTTATTCTTAGAAATTCAGACTGTTCTGCTGTTGCAGGTCTTAGATCTTTATAAGTATACATTTGTGAGCCATGTAACAGCTAAGGCTGATTCCTTAGTCTTCAAAATACATAGAGCTTCCAAAGGGCCTTGGAGACCTGGCCTTGGGTCAGGAGGTCTGTTGAGCCTTGTGTGTGAGGTTGGCTTACTTTCTTTTTAGGTAATCTACTAGAAGCTTCAATCATATGGTACTGTTTATGTGTCTTTAATATTTTATATTTTATTTTATTTTATTATTTTAGCACCTGCCGACTCTAGAGCGACTCTGGGCAGCTCACAGTATAAAACAGAATACAGATACAGTAACATAAATTTAAAACATGCAATAAGAAATATAATACATTGGAAATATGGACAACATTAATGCATGAACAACACCAACAAAATTGATCACTCCCATCTACCCTACCCGAAGACCTGGAGAACAGGCAGGTCTTTAAGGCCTTCCTGAATGCCATCAGGTTGGGAGCTGTCCAGATCTCATTCCAGATTATGTTTTTCCGATTATAGATATTTTTATATTATATATATATACACATACATACACACACACACATGCACATTTTTATATTGTGTTATATTATGTTTTCATGAATTGTTAGCTGACCAAAATTACCATGTTGAGATGGTAATTTTACATATAAATAATTTTACATAAATAAATAGTAGCAAGAACATGGTTACCACTTCTGCTGCTTCTAAAACTTAGCAGTCTTCTACAGGCCTAGTCAGTAATAGCTCTAATTACTATCAGTATTATAAAGTATACTTTATTTCAACCAAATGATTTTAGCATAAGAACAACACAATGGTGACACTTTGGTTATATCTCATCTTTGAGGCTTGTACACAAAACTTCCAAGTAACTAAACCTAAATACAGACCATAGCAATAAATGTATTATTTAAATCAATTCACTCCCTTTACATTTAACTGCCATTGCTGATCTTCTATGCTACCACTGTATTTCTTGCTACTTGCTGGCTAATCTTATGATAGGAGGCAGGAATATTAGGTATGTTCACTGCCTTGAGTTATATACAGGTAGTCCTCATTTAGCGACCACTGTTTGGACCGGCAACTTGGTTGAATGGTCGCTGTACGAGGCAGTCACTAAACAAGGATTATCTGTATAAAAAAAGGCGGGATAAAAAATCTAATCATCATCATTTAAATCTGCCAGCATAAAGCATATTCACTATAGGAATCCCAGTGCACCAAGACACAGTAGATAAATAAATTGGGTTTTAGAAGCCTTAAACAGTTTACAATCCAGGAGATAATGTATTAGATCTTCAGTCTGAGACTCTCCACAAATACAGAGATGCTCTAGAACTGGTACTTCCCTGTACCTCCCACCCAAATATGCTGAAGGAATTTATTCAAAGCAGAGCTCAGCAAAGGCTGGTCTCAAGGATGGACTTATCAGCCTGTAAATATTCCAACATCCCGAGATACAATGCAACCATGCAAAACCATTCGGGCTTTCTCTGCTAAAAACGATACCCCAATCCTGGAGGGAATTCCTTGCAAACAATCCTTTAAATTAACCTCAAAAGTTGGGCTGCACACTTGTTCCACTGAAATGGGGTAATATCCGAAATACCATGAACAATCCCAGACTCAGGCATCCTTAAATTATTCTCTACATCATTGTTTAACTAGGCACAAACTAGACACATCAACCAATTGTTTATACTACTCTGATACTAATGGAGTAAAGACCCACTCCATTCTCAGCAAGGCAGTGGAGATGCTTGGTAGCACCAGTCCCCAGTTCCCCAACTCACGTGTAACTGCAAGATCATTGTCCTTTAAAGATGTTACTTCAGGTGACTCTAAATGGCCTGCTCTGGAGAGAAAAAAAGGAACAGTAAGATTTCATAAATCATGTGACAGTTATATTTGTATTTAATATACAAGCTGTCCAGAACAGAGATGATAAGAAATGAATACTCAGTTATGTAAATGAGCTCACTGTTCTGTTGCATTGCTATCAAAAGTCAGGGTGTATGTGCTTTTTTGGCAAGTTCAATGATTTTTATCTTGTAATAGTTGATTTGAAGCAACTTGGTTCTACAGTATTCACTTAGCTTATCCAGAAGGTTTCATACACCAATTTGCATTGTGCAGAGTAATACCATATCATCTGCATATAAAACAAGTCATATACAACAGTTCTGTTTACCAAAGAACATAGGGATAAAGGGAGGAGAGGAAAGCACAATATTATTGAAGTAAAATCAGAATAAGAAGGGAGCCAGAATGCATCTCTGTCTTATTACTCTATAAGTCTATTACTATCTTTAAATTGATAAATGCAAGATAAAGAATATCTTGGGGATAGTTACAATACTTTTCCACAAGGTTGTACAGTATAATACACCAATCAAGTGTTGATTATCCTGCCTAAATTAGTTTGCTTGTTGGCCATTGCATTGTCCTCTACCAGCAGGACAGTGTAATGACTAATTGACTACCAAACTGACTAATTTCCGGGAAAGATGTCTGCTGTACAATTTACTGGTTATACCTGGGAAACTAGGCAAAAGTTTTCTGGATTAGTTTCCTTTCCTTTCTTATACTCTGGCACTGTAATGAACCAATCCAGTCCTTAAGGATATGAAATCAGGTGGAAAGTTGGTAATTTCTGATAATTAATATTTATTACCTCAACAGCAATTACTGAGACAGTTTATAAATGGGATGAGCTTGAGGACTATATAGTGGATATGATGTTAATAATGCTATAGTTATTTTTGGCAACTTTAATGCTAGATTAGGCCCAAATGATGAAACCCTTTATATTTGCTTTAATCCCCTTTGCCCAAGAGTTTAATCCATCTTCAGTTTCACTGATCCAGAGATAGGTAGATTAATAAAGGAGATTGATCACTAAATTCAATTTAACCATCTTTAATCTGTAGAAGAGGATTGTAAAGTGAAATACATGCACGCGTGCACACACACTCACTGGGCCAAACAGGGTGCCAGCACTATTGATTGCATTAAAGTGAATCCCACATTTAATTACTAAAATGCCTTCTTTATAATTGATACCAAACCAGTAGAGATCACTCCCCTCTCACTGTTTCATTATCTGTCTCTAATGCTCCAATATATTGTCTGCAGCAAATCTAACCAATCAAGAATCCCGTGAATAACAGTTATGAAATTAGATGGTTGAGAAAACTGGACAGGGCAATCTTGCAGGTTTTTTAAAAAAAATCTTAGCTATGGCAGTTTGTTATTTTTGAGAAGGGTACGACAGAAGCATTGTTCACTTTCCAGTGAATAATTATAAATACAATCAGGATATTGACCTTAGTATATCCATTTCAGAAAATGCAATACAGGCAATCAGTTCAGAATTAATAGTATTTTTTCTGAAATGGATATGGTAAGGCCACCATGACTTTCGCCTTGGGTTGGGAGTAGTTTGGAATGAATATCCTTGGTTTTTAGGTAGTATTCAGCTCCAAACTAAAATCTTCTAGGTGATACTTTAAGATCTTCTGGTTAATTGTTTACCTTCTGTAACTGCTAAATCCAGTCTTCTCTACTCTATTGATCAATTATCAGGAAGCTGTAGTTGGCTGTCAGCTGGCCTAGTTACTAAAAGGAGTATACAAATATTTATTTAAACAGTAATTAAAACAAACCATGGGTCAGAGTAATGCATGAACTATTCATAATTTACTGTATATAGTATATATTTATATAGTTTATATATATATACACACACACACAATAGTTTATATATATAGTATGATTGTTTAACTAATTAATGTGAATATTTATATTTTTAACTGTTTTTGGGTTTTAATTGTGAGTCGCCCAGAGTCACCCTCTGCAGGAGATGGGTGGCATATAAATTTAATAAATAAATTTAATAAATAAATAATTCCTTTAAGCTTTGTGGCTATTTGAATTATAAGGGTGATAGTTTATGGGGAAGACTAAGACAGGACAGTGCAGTTAGGTTACATAAGGTTTCAATTCTCAGTAAGCAAGGCAGTTTGACAGTGGAAGTAATTAACAAGAGAGCTCCCCTCTGTCAGATGTGTTCA